CATAAATTTTGGTGTGTTTTATCTTGACACGTCATTTAAGAGTAGTCTATTTCATTAATTTTTTTCTTACATACACAATGTAAGCTGATGAGAAATATAGACTACTTTTCACCGCAAGTAAATGTATTTATTCATGAGTAATTGTAAATGAATTTACATTTCTACAAGAAAAATATAATTAATATTCTTTATTGCACTTAAACAATATATTCGACAATTAGTTTAACAACTTGTTAGCAAGGGAGGACTTATCTCTGAAAGAGATCTCTTCCAGCCAATCCAGTGTAGTTAGAGAGAAAATTATTTAATTAATAACTAATTTTTAGACGTAATTAGTTCCATAGATAAATTTTATAAAACTTTTTATTAAATTAAACCCCGAAGTAATTTGTATTATATGAATTTAAAATAGTCTCTATTTTCATAAAATATGTAACTCGCTTAAAAGAACCAGTTGATGCTGAAGTAAACAAAAGCGCGCTATCAGATTGTTCATCGTAAAAGGATTGAAACTCATATTTTCTTCTTTAACTCCTTTTTGCCTTTTACTTTCTTTTTCTTCTTCTCTTTGTTTTCCTTTCTTTTTATCTTTATTCTTCCCCTTTCCTTTTTTTCTTTTTCCTTACGAAGTATTCACGCAGTATTAACTGTTATAGAAAAGCACAGTCTACAACGAAGTGGGGTGGTGACCTTCGATGTAAACTGCATTCTTTGCCAATGAATAATATATATATGTTATCATCATTATCATATCAGCCTTTAATTGTCTACTGCTGAAGATAAGCCTCCCCTTTGGTCGATTTTGCCAATAGATGCCAAGCTTGGCAGGCAGATGGGCAGCCGCAGTTAGACTTTGTCTAACGTAAAATTATTCCTGTTTACATATCATCTTTCTTTTCAATAATATTCATTTTGATATTTACAATGTTCATTGTTGGTTAGTTAATAGTATTTGGTATTTTATATTGTGTATTGTAATTAGTTTACAATTGCTATTATTTTAATTTATTTTATATATTTTAAGAATAAAGAGATATGATATGATGATGTATACTTTTAAACTTGTAACCTGTTTTTCTTTCTTACATATTTTTTTTATTTATAACGAATATATATATATATATATATATATATATATATATATATATATATATATATATATATATATATATATATATATATATATATATATATATATATATATATATTCGTTATAAATAAAAAAAATATGTAAGAAAGAAAAACAGGTTACAAGTTTAAAAGTATACATCATCATATCATATCTCTTTATTCTTAAAATATATAAAATAAATTAAAATAATAGCAATTGTAAACTAATTACAATACACAATATAAAATACCAAATCGTATTTTATTAACAATACACATTACAACAATACATTACAGTACATTTAAACAAAGACAGAATCATCAAAGTCGGCATAGAAATTATATAAAATAGAAGTTATATTGGATTAAATATAACACTCCGAAGTCCGTCATAGACAAGAGAGAGAAGTTTAAAGGGGGAAATTAAAATTTACATATAAATGAACGGTGTTGACCGAGTTCGAACTTGTAACCTTGTATCTGAAGTCTTGTAAGTTAGCTTGTATATTGTATATACGTTATCCAAAAAGAACAATAAAAAAGATCTATAATAAAATTGCAAGCACCATTGTTTAATTTTGTAACAAACTTTGAATCTATTTCAATAATTATGAAAATTAATACATTACTATTTTAAAGCAGTTATTCCATTTCTGTATTGTTTAATGTTAAATGTGCCATGTGGTCCCGACATAGAATAGGCCGCTCCTTCCTTTTGCGTGGGTGTCGTAAGAGGCGACTAAGGGAGGACAAGGGATGGGCAGCAGCGTCCCTCTTAAAATATCTCCAAAACCTAACTACAATTAGCAAACCGCCTATCGAGCGTGGCAACTACTAACAAAACAACCCAAGGAGAGGCTTATGTTCAACAGTGGATAGTTGGAGGCTGATATGATGATGATGAAGTATTGTTTAAATTTCATTTTATATATAGTATTTAATTCTGAAAACTATCTATCTAATTTATATTAACAAGAAATAGAATAGATCTAAAGATACACCCCTTTTCAAAACAAGATTTACTCAGTAATACTATTTACATAAACTTTTTGAATCTACTTAATAAGTACGTACAACTTAATTAAATATTGTTTAAGCCGTTATCATTAACGCTGCAAAAAGCAAGTGTGTTAAGTAATGTAAGTGCTATTGTAAAAGTACATTAATTACAACTTTTTTAGAAATTTTTAAATACAATATATTTTCTAGATTACAAATCTCTACTCATGTTATCCCTGAGATATTGAAAATAGAGATTATGTAAACAAAGCTCAATGTACTAGTGCAAGTGAACTCGAATTCGAAATAAATCACTATACCAATCTGCCTTTCCTATACAAATTTTCATCTCTCATTTCACCTCTTTAAGGGTAAAATTTCCAAAAACGCTCCAAAATAGTTAATCCATTTCTAATATTCTAATTAGATGTTTAAAACTCAAGTTTCGCTTTAACTTCAATTATAACAGAACTCTCCATACGAACTTTTATCTCCTATTTCACTCCTGTAAGGGTAAATTCTTCAAAAGTCAATAAACATATTAATTTTCGTTTAAAATCTGACTAAATTTAAAATTTCAAAAAACTGATGAACACCATACAAAATTTATAAACCTCAAAAAGTAAAAATTACAAAAATATTTTCTTATTATTTATCTATGCTTTATAAATAACCTATCTGTAAAATTTCAAGATTATATTCAATGGCAGTGCATTGGTACGTATTTACTTACTAATGTCATACAAATTTGTTCATTTTTAAAAACTATTGTATGTAGCTTTAGTATTCGTCCACTTTAATATTTCCTTCCTTAGTATAAATAATAGTATAGTTATAATTTAATGTAAAGCTTGTTGAATCTGAATCAGATTTATGCACGAACCGCAAATAAGTGGCCAAACCAAATAATACCAAACCACATTTATTGTCACATATTATAATTACGTAAATTGTTTGTCTTTTTTATGTGGTTTGAAAAAGTAAATTTCAATGAATGAATTAATTTATATTTTAATATGAAAATTTATTTATTAAAAATAATTATAACATTATAATAGACAAAGCCAAATCAATGTTATAAATCTAGGGTGCTAAAATATATTGAGATACATTCTAGCAATATACTGTATTTTCATTCAAAATCTAAATTCAAACGAATACAACTCGATTACGGTTATTTATTAATGAAATAACGATGGTTTTAAAACAATGAATAAGAAGCCTTATTTATTAATATAATTTATACATTTATAATATTCTTGGGATGATTTTCCATGATCTGTGATAAGATTATGTTACATATATCGAGAATGTATAATATCGAGAATATCACAAATTATAGTGACAACTAATACCACAACTACTTCTAAGGACTAGTTTTTTTTTTATGAATGATAAAGGAATGGTAACCCTGCCTGCGCTATCGGTATACACTGGCAAGACACCAGTGAGGGATGATAAGTGAGAATTAAGCAGGTCAGTTAGCTCATCGTGACGAATTCAACAAAAAAGTAATTATGATGTTCTCCAGGGGAAATCGCGTGAAGGTCGACCTGATAGCTAGCAATGGGGTTGCTAATCCCCATTATTAACAATTTCCTCTCCCCCAAGCGTGCCAGTGGGAGATGACAGATGTGGATGAAAGCAAGTATATTGACCCTGTGTGGCGAATTCTAGAAATAATCATGATAGTTTCCAGGAGGAACTGCGTGGAAGTCAACCTGACAGGGTATCGATAGATAATCCCCGGGACTAACATTTTTCACAATTAACCCCTAGACTGACATATTATTTAATGGGTGAAGGTGAAATGGTAACTCCGCCAGCGCTATTAGTATACACTGCCAGGCCACTAGTGAGAGATGCCAGATGTGGATGAAAGTAATCCAGTTGGCCCATCGTAGCGAATTCAAGATATAATCACAATTGTTTCCAAAAGGAACCGCGTGGAGATTAACCTGATAGGGTATATTGGTAACAATAGGATCGACAATCCTCATTACCCGTTACTAACAATCCTCTCTTTACCCCTGAACTGCAGTATTAGGTCTCATATAACAAGATTGCATAATGATAAAACGCTTCCCATAAACTGATGTCTCATGCCAAAAATTAATAAAAAGGAAGTTCGTATTTCAATAAATTAGTCAAAGTTTCACCATCAATAAGAGATATCCTACTTGTAATTATGACAATACGAGTATAACCAACATCTATGTTCAATAGTGAACAATGAACGATAAAAACGATAATAGTGATAACTCAGCAATATTATTTATGTTGAATTTAATATTTACTCTAAATTAAATACGTACAAAATACAAAAAGCAAATGTTAATAAAAATCTTTCGAGAGAACGCAATGGCCGTGAAAAAAGAAAGCAGACTAAGCATTCTGGGTCAGCGACGTCTATTAAGAGATTAATTTTCAATTCATGAAAATTATTATAGTGCTTCCAACAATTTGAAAACCAACTAAAACTTATAAAAGTTAAAGATTTAAAAATTTATTTAATATTTGAATATAATTAGGTAACATGAGCGTAGACAATAAATTGCTTACTTCACACCACCCGTACCAATTAAAGTTTTACCATCGGAACGTAAGTAGATAGATAAATATCTACTACAGATTTTGTATCTATCATAACACGTAATATTTTTTACACATTTCTATAGTTGATCAGACGATAAAATTTTTCGTAACACATATAGAAATTAAAACTATGCTGTTGCTACAAATAAGCAAAGTGCCCGCCGCAACGGCAATGTGAAAGTGAGAGTTGTGCATAGTTTGCTATATACACTGAAAGTTTAACTCGAACGTGAAATGTTGTTGCAACTATCATGCCAACCTACAGGTAGTAAATTGACATAACAAGGAATACTTACACGACCTTGCTGAGTAGTAGCGGCGCGGTGCGGTCGCGACGAGCAGGAGCGTGACGGCGCGCGCTGTCTCTTAACGCGTACGTCGCGAGCGTGAGCTACGGCTGGCGTGGCCGACTAGCGACCCTCCGCCTCTACTGCTCGAATCACACTGCTTATCGACCTCCGCGCAACCCCCTCGCCGAAGCCGCCTAATACGCCGCCGCGCCCGCCTACAGCGCACTGTTGCTAAAATGCGAGAAACCTTTAACAATTCATCTCTCATTATCCTTGCTGACTACACGATCGATGACCACGTGACACTGATTCACTTTCATCAGGTGGACCCAACGACAATGGCCAATTCTCGATCAGTTGGAACTTCTAGGTGGTTGTGACTAAGCAATCGATCCAGTGTTACGGTGCTAGCTGTAAAAGGCTGACGGTGCAAATATAAATGGATAAAATTACCGAATTCATAATGTATTCTTCAGAAACCGTTTCGGATGAAACTAAGGAAATTGAATGAGGCTTGTAACAAAATTTGTTAATTTTATTTCCGCTAATGCTTTAGACAAGTTTTTCTTTTTAATTTGAAGGATATATTTCCTTCACAGCTTAAGTTGACTTATTATAGATATTTATTAAGTAACCGAACTTTTGTTGGAACTACTATACCGCTTATATTAAAACTACTGCTTACATATGCATCACTTCATGATAATATTATCATAATATCAGCCGTCTGTCCACTGCTGAACATAGGCCTTCCCCTTGGGGGGTTTGCCAGTTGCTGCCACACTTAACAGGCTGGTTGGCAAACCGCAGTTAGGTTTTGCTGATGTTTTAAGAGGGATTTACGATACCTCTTAGTTGCATCTTACAACAATCTACGCAAAAGAAAGGGGTAGTCCGTTCTATGCCTAGACTACGCAGTAATACTTAATTATAAATAGTGAAAATAGATTAAAGACTATTAGCTAGAGCTTAAAACGGTATAAGTAACTGAATCGAATTATAACATTAGAATATTTGTAATTAGAGGTTAATTAGAGGTAATTGGTTTAATAAGTAAACTATAAAATTATGCGTATTAGGTACTGTTACAAATCTGTGAGAGAATAATAATACAAGTATATATATGAATTACTTTGAAAATCATACTAGAGTTACTTGTAGTGTAGCTGACATAGCTGCAAATAGACACTATTCATCTATTTATATATGATAGTTACATTAAAATGTTTTATAAAACAATGGATACTAAGACTTGAATGCGACCTTCTGTTGAAACTTTAATAAATTACTTTTACCGTTATTGCAGCAATTGACGATGGGGCCGGAAGGTGGCTAAATGAACCCCAACAAATTTCAACTCGTTTTATGTGTTTCGATGAGTAGTTGGCTGGTTGATGGTTGTCAAGGTTTAATCATAGCGTCTGTATATCAACACGCTATATACATTATAGGATCTGTTTTAAAATATTACTATTTTTATATTTATTTGCATAAAAAATATATTACTATATCAGTTAATACAAATAAGACAATTATTATTATTGTTATATCAGTCGTTAAATGTTCACGGCTACATATGGGCCTCCCCCATAATGAGGGCGTTGCCATAACTAGCCACGCTTGGCTAGTGGGTTGGCAACCACACTTCAGTTTTGGTGTTTTTTTTTTAAAGGGACGCTGCTGCCCATCCCTCGACTACTAAATGCTCTGTTTCGTTTTTTAACTACATCCACGGAAAGAAAGGGATGACCCATTCTATGCCAGGACCACTCGGTAATAATAAAAATATTTATAAAGGTTTTTAAATGTGATTAATTTTAGAAACCATTGGCTATTAATAAAATCTACCTAAAGAAAGTTTTAATTGAATATCGACTTGATGAAACGATTTATGAATGACGAAGTTAATGAACTAAATATTAGAAGGGCGTATTATAATATTGCAGCCCCAAATTGCAATACAAAATTACAGTTAATATTTATGATATTATTTTTAAAACTTATGTTCATTTTTTGATAATTTCCCATTATAATAAATGTATATAAATATCGCTATTTGTATGCTCTTGTAAATCAATATATTATGAATAAGAAATAACTATAGAAACAAAATACCGAACACTTAATCTATAATTATTATCCTTTATAATATTCTATGACGTATGGTCCCGGCGTAGAATAAGCCACCCCTTCCTTTCTCGTAGATGTAGTAACAGGCGACTAAAGGAACTTAATAGTCGAAGGATGGGCAGGAGTGTCTCTCTAAAAACAACGTCTTAGTTAAGCTGCGGTTGCCCACTCGCTTGCCGAGTGTGGCAACTACTGGCAAAACCCGCCAAGTTCATTAGGGGACAATTAACGGCTGATGTGGTATGGTATCCCTATTCCACGTAGATGTCGAACATAAAATATATTATATATGACAGTGCCTTATAATCACTTCAAAACAGACGTATAGTAATGTACTTATCAGAGTACCGGGCAATAGAATTAAAAAGTTGACGTAATCCGACACTTCGCCAGGCTAAACATTGCAGTACTGAGAATAACACACCACTGTACGTTTTACGATTCCGTCTACTGCTTTATGAGTTGAAGATTGCAGCAATTTAGATTTAAGTTGCATGTTGCATTTACAAGTACTTTACATCTCAGTTGTGTACTCTAAATAGGTTCAAAAGAAGCCAATCGTAAAAAAATACAATGTTGTTTCGAAAAAAGAAGTTACTTGAATTATGAACGCACCGATGATCGACTACTTAGATGTGTCGTAAATATTCTATAACAACATATTGCGTAGATGTACTGCATTGTGAATATAGCGTATTCACATATTGTTCTTGGAACGACGAAAATCAGTAATTTACACCGCAAAAATATCAAGTTCAATCATAATAAAACTGAAATGAGACCAACACAGGAATGAACTCTATCGATTGGGGGGGAAAGGGATTGTTAGTAATGGAGACTGAGAATCCCATTGCTAGCAATATCCCCAACCAGGTCGACCTCCTCGCGGTTCTCCCTGGAAACTATCATGGTAAATTCCTGATGAATTCATCATGATGGGCTAACTGGCCTGTTTTCATTCTCATCTATCACCCCTCACTGGTGCTCCGCCAGCGTATCCCGTTAGCGCAGGCGGGGTTACCATACCATTTTCACCCATCAAAAAAAACTCTATCGATTGCAGAGAGAATTATTAAAATCAGTTCAGAATTGGAAACATAATCGCGTAATATAGACATAAAAAAAATGCGGACGAGTTGCAAACTTCCTTCTTTTCGGAAATCGTCTAAAATAGGATTACAGATTTTCGAATAGATCTCATGCGGAAGCGGTTTGCTGTCTATAAATGGATTTTGTAACATTATGGTAAGTAGATGAATATAATAGTTTGAGTAGTTAATATATATCAAACTATTTTATTAAATTTGCTTTATTTATTTCTCCATGTATATTTCTATGGTATCAGCGAAGGCGTTCCCTATTGTTATTTAGGGAAACAAATTTGAATGCTCAACAGATTTCGTTATTCTCACGATAACATAATCCCCGATAACTTACTTAGAGAATAGCACAAACTTCTCAAGATCCTTTCAAATACCTATATCTCTATAAACGTATCAGTTTCCACGAGTAAACAGATATGATCTCCCTTTTTATAAGCTTTAAATCTGGTTTTACCAAATTTTTAAGGATAACATTTATGGGGAAGTATGTTCCATGTATCTAATAATAGAATGAGATTATTTAAAGGTTTTAAGGCTATGTAAATAAAATAATAAAAATAAAATTATAAAACAATTGTAAAGAGAAATGAAAATTTCAATTGAATTTCATTTGGATAATGATAGATATTGCTTAGCATTAAAATAGAGTAAAATACTTTTTTATGATAATTTTTGCGAATAATGTTCTCTTTACACTTGTCTTTAATAATATAAATACTTTAGGACTAGTTTATGAGTTGAAAGGTAAAAGTAAGCAAAAATTAAATTAAATAAAATATAATATCTAACAGTATAATAAAATCGAAAACTGGTTATGTACAAACAAACTAAAACAAAGGATTTTTATTTTTTCAGCCGTTAACTGTCCACTGCTGAACATAAGCCTTCCCCGTAAGGGGAGTTCTGCCAGTAGTTGCCACGCTTGGTATGCCGATTGGCAACCGCAGTTAGACTTTTAGAGATGTTTTAAGAGGGACGCTGTTGCTCATCCCTCGCCCTCCCTTAGTCAACTCTTACGACATCCACAGGAAAGTTATACCGGAACCATACGACACAAAACAAAGGATAAGTAAGCTTAAATTACAATCAATCAGCAATATATATATTATTTTATGAACCCATAATAGATGAAAAGGAAAGGTTTTCGAGTGGCTACCCTGTATAGGATAAACTCTAACTACCGCCACCGATGAAGCAATAAGGTCAACAAGGGTATTGAAATGTGTCAGGGGACACAGAATCTCATCATGGTGGTCTTTGAAGAAGTTTATGTTCATTTAACATCTCAAGTGTTGATAATTATGATGGTAATAAATATAATGACGTTACATCATTTTCATCATCAGGATAAGGTACTTTACATCAATAGAATCTTTGAATTCTGTCGTCATGACAGAAATAGATAATATTAAAATGTACATAAAGAAAATGATAGAGAGTATCAAAGATCAAGTTACCTACTAAATGAATAAGAAGCTGGATTTTCTTTCTGTCAGTAAGTCAAAGGCACTTCTCTTGTAAACGACGCCCGGCATATTCAGAATCTCCGTGTTGTATGCAGTTCTGCACTGTACAATGAAATGCGATTTGAAAATCGAACAATATCTTGCACACAGGTGTTATCAGATAAAGCTTTGTACCATTGACTATAGACGTTATTGTAAAATGGCATTTTAATATTTTGCAAGTTGTCAATAGTATATTCCCTATTATTATGGATTTATGGAACTCTGATCCTATGATGCTACGAGCATGACGCATAAAATCCGCCTTATGCACCATACATTTTTATAAAATATGATTCTGCTATATGTTATAAATGCAAAGGTATGTAAGTGAAAAGATAACAAACACGTAGTATGTTACTTTTTCATTTAAAATTTGGAAATGCATAGATTATAAATTATA